TTGACAAAATCCGTCCATGCATAACTGAGATCCGGGTCCGGAATGGTGAAAATGTGCGATTTTGATGCATTTTCGGCCTTAAAATGGCCGCTATTCGGCTATCGTTAATCGGATCATGAAAAAAATGCATGTGCATATGTCCCATATAATGTGTGATGTATGAGTGAAGTTTGAACTTAATCGGTCCATGCATGTTCGAGATACAGGTGATCACGGGCGCACGGACGGACGGACGCACACAGGGCAAAACATAAGTCCCCGTTTTCGGACTGCGTCCGAACGGGGACTAAAAAGTTATACATCTTACCTGGGGTATTGCACAGAAATTAAAGACACTTTGATTGTGAATTCTTGACATGTATTGGAGTACATCTGGCACATGCTTCAAAGCATTAGTGACTAAATCATTTAGACAATTAACTGACTTCTCAAAATGTTCACTCTTCTTCAAATCTTCAAGATTCTCAGTGTATTTGCTCCAAGTCTGTGAAGTAATTTAACAACATTGTTTACATTAAAGTAACTTTAATAGTAACATGATATAAACCATTGTATTTTGAATCAAGTCAGTTTCACCATCAGTAAAATGACTGTGAGGATTGTTGCAACATAAATGGCTGCCAGTAGGCCATATTAACTATATTTTTTGAGCAGAGTTTCAATCAAATCGTTCAATGAAAAAATGTCTGATAAATGTACACAAAAAATGAGATGAAACAAGTGCTTTTTTCTTCTCTTCTTTTTTCCCAGTCTTTATATCAGCAAACTCCATTTCAGTCAAAAAATAAAGTGTATTTTGCTTCCACAAGCTAGGTGGGCAGGCTTAAATTGTGAAGTTTGTTGAGCTATGAATTAGTCATTTAGTTCTCCCAGAACTTATGTGTTACCATTGTTAGTGACACTAACTACAGTTTCACTTTTAATACATTGCCTGTCCATTCACATATAGATTTGAATTTGTATGACCTTTGTACTATGAACTAGCAGCCAATCACAGACCAGACAAATAAATTAGCTGAAAGACACTGGATATGGTAAAGTACATTATTGCTGTTTATTTGTTCTAGTAGGATAAACATTCGTCTTATGATTTTGTACTTTTCAACATACAAGATGAGCATAATGTACAGCAAATCTCTCCACCCAAATGCTAAAGTGACGTGCATATGGTAATATTACCTGCTCAATAAGTTAAACATTCAAATTAAAAACACTAGTCTTGCATGGTACTATTTATTAAATCCCATTTCTCAAGGTTTGTGATTGACACTCAACTCATTAATAATGCCACCAATCAAACAGCTTTGTTCATTTCATAAACATAGAGAAACAGTAACATTAGTTTGACATTACCTTTTAAACTCACTTAAAATTTGGAAATGTATGTCGTCAATTAAATCATACAATCCCAGGCTATTTACTCCTAAACTTTTAAATGTCCGCAGTATAGCAATAAAGCTGCAGTCATTATCACTAATACATTATCACATGTAACATTTTGAGATAAATTAAAATTTTACCACTGTACCTCTTTTGGCCAAAATTTTCTTCCTTCCAAAATATCTTCAAGGTAATCTCTGATAATGTTAGTTTTTTGTAGAAATAATCCCATAGAATTAGATAAATAAGTGTCTTCTCCTACAACTTTGTCTTCTAGCTTGGAAGCTGAGAACAACCTTGATAGACCAATACCAACCAGACCAGCTACATAATGGCAGTACTACCACAAAAAGCGATAAAAATCATTAAAATAAATAAAATTCAAAAACGTGTGACCTGTCAGTCATATATGTGTATATATATCTGTCATTGGCAAGCCTGTGTTTGCGCTACCCATTCACCACATTCGCATTCACGAAATTTATCGCCAAATGGCAAAGATTTTTTCGGAAACATTAGCCGCGTTGGCGAATAAAAACCGTGATCGCAATATGCAGTCAAAATCATGAAGTCTGCTGGTGTTTCTTTCGTGAATATTCCATGGACGCCGCCATCTTGGTTCACATGTTTACTTATTGCGTGCATCGAGAATTGCGTTAATACATACAAATACGTCACATGTGCACAGTTGAGGTTAGCAGACGTTATGACAGAAAATAAGAGAAAAACGCCCGGCAGATGTACGGGACATTTCATCATATTTTGGTGGAAAATCGTCCTTATTAAGTTGCGATGAAGAACAAACTTCTAAAAGATGTTGGGTGAAGTACGACAGAAATGAATCACGATCGATTCAAAGTGCATGATTTAAGGAATTTCCGTGGCTGATTCACGACAAGGCGAACGGCCTAGTTTTGTATCGATGCTAAAATGAATAACGCGTTCACTTCAGGAAAATCTGATAAAGCGCCCAAAAAGGATGATACAACTAAACATTCAAACAACAAGGATCATGGGTAAGGATGTTCTTAAGTATACTGTGGCTATTTTTTTTTACCGAAACTTTGATAATTTCTCTTAGACTTGACGAAATGTTTTTGCTTCAACTTGTAACACGCGTGACCTGTAAATACGCACCTATTTATTTATTTTTGTGTGTTATTTTAATTAATAAACTGGTTTATTTTTCATAATGGCTGTAGAGCGACCAACCTTCCAAAAGGAGTTCAAAAGTGCTACTACAACAGCCTATGGCAAGATAAAAGATGCTATAATAGCACAGATGAGGACTGTGTATACAATGGCAAAAGAACATATGTCAACTAGAAAAATGATGCCATTGATAGAGATGCAGATACTAAATGTATATATATAGTATGTTTTATATTATTATTTAAAAAAAAATTATTCCCATTTACTGATACATTCTGTTATTACTGCTATATATCTAAAGTTAAGATAGGTACTTTTCTTTCTGTTATAAGAACTGTGGAAATAACTACAATTAATGTAATTGTTAGAAATTGAATTTATTCATTAAATTGTATACATAAAATAAAAATAAATCAGTATCATTAAATTTAAATGTTAATTAAGTCATTATGCTTTCATTACAGGGGTCCACCTAAGCTAACCGCATACCAAGAATCAACGCAACCAGGCTAGCACTTTTAAAGAAAAAGACCAAAATATAATTTGACAAAATAACAAACATTTTCACTAAAAATAAAACATTGAGCAAATCTGATATAGGTCCATCCAAGGTACCTACATATCAATTTCAAAGTTACTGAGTCTGGTTTTCAAGAAAAACATCATTTATAGCAAAAGTTGACACTAAAAATCACCTACTGAATATGAACAGCTCCACTTTGTCATCTCAATTACATTATCAAAATTACATACAGAAAATACATTTGATTTTTCATCCATGGTTTTTAGTTTAATTAATTAGAGTACCTCTGTGATGCATTCAATTTAAGATATCAGGAATAGGCTAATAATAGATAAACAATATGTATGTTTATCAAGATTAAACTAATCACGTCTGTGGACTACCTCAATGAACCAAATGAATCATTATACAAATTAATCAATTATTATGCATAGATTTCGGTCTGTATATTGTTTCAGGGCGCACATGTACAAAGTTTCATTACATTGTGATGATTAATCCTAACTAAATTAGTGGAAAGCTGAAAAGTAAATTATTATGCAAATTAGGTAATTATTATAGATGTATATAAACCTAAACTAATTAGATCATCACATTATTTAACAAGCAGCCTATCGGCTGAGATAGCTCCGCTGTTAGAAATGCACATTTCAATTAAAGAACTGAAGACATCATCAGAAAGTGAACAATATGTCTAGTATCAAAGCAGTCGGACTTACAGTTTTTAACAAGAAGTCGAAAATATCACTTTCTACCAAAAATGACCAAAATATTCACCAAAATTAGAGAATTGAAGATATCATCACGAAATGAACAAATCTGAGAAAGGTCTACATGTAGTATCTATATATGTAATATCAAAGCAATTGAACTTTTGGTTTTTAACAAGAAGTCGAAAATATCACTTTTTACCAAATATGACAAAAATATATTCACCAAAATTATAGAATCCAAGATATCATCACGAAATGAACAAATCTGAGAAAGGTCTACATGTAGTATCTATATATGTAATATCAAAGCAATTGAACTATTGGTTTTTAACAAGAAGTCGAAAATATCACTTTTTACCAAAAATTACAAAAATATTCACGAAAATTAGAGAATTGAAGACATCATCACAAAATGAACAAATCTGAGAGAGGTCCACATGTAGTACCTATATATGTAATATCAAAGTAATCGGACTTGTGGTTTTTAACAAGAAGTCGAAAATATCACTTTTTACCAAAAATTACAAAAATATTCACGAAAATTAGAGAATTGAGGATATCATCACAAAATGAACAAATCTGAGAAAGGTCCACATGTAGTACCTATATATGTAATATCAAAGCAATTGGACTATTGGTTTTCAACAAGAAGTCGAAAATAGCACTTTTTACCAAAAATGATAAAAATATTCACCAAAATTAGAGAATTAAAGATATCATTACAAAATGAACAATTCTGAGAGAGGTCCACATGTAGTACCTATATATGTAATATCAAAGCAATTGCACTTGCGGTTTTTAACAAGAAGTTGAAAATATCACTTTTTACCAAAAATGACAAAAATATTCACCAAAATTAGAGAATTAAAGATATCATTACAAAATGAACAAATCTGAGAGAGGTCCACATGTAGTACCTATATATGTAATATCAAAGCAATTGCACTTGCGGTTTTTAACAAGAAGTTGAAAAATTCACTTTTTACCAAAAATGACAAAAATATTCACCAAAATTAGAGAATTGAAGATATCAACATGAAATGAACAAACCTAAGAGAGGTCTACCCAAGGTACATATACACCAAGTATCAAAGCATTCAGGCTTGTAGTTTTCAAGAAGAAGTCGAAAAAGTAAAACATTGACACGGACGACGACGACGGACAATCACTCATATGATAAGCTCCGCTCGACAAAGTCGACAGCGGAGCTAAAAAGGAGCATTGCAATATTGTTGCCTTACCTCATCCCAGTCTGCATTTGTCAGCACTTCCTTCTGTAAGTAAAGAGTCATTCCAGCACCCATTTCACGACAAATATCACGTATAACATCTTGGTAAATAGGATCAAGTGATCGAAATTCAGCTGATATCTGCAATTAGAAATATTCCAAGATGGATTACCCTGCTACAGTGTGACAGGCGTTAAATCAGAAGCTCCACAACACACAAAATGACCTGCCTACTTCAATTTTTTAACCAAGATGAAAACTTGGAATAAATAAAATTGACAATGAAAGTTTCTTTCCATACTTTTAAAAATTCAATCACCTACTAACCAAGACAATCAAAAAATATTTTAATCTAGTTCAAATACTCATAAATTCACAAACATGCTGTTTTAGAATTTAACAAATTCAACTAATTTTGAACTTACATAGTAGATCTTTTAGGGTCTGGGATCTAGGGTCTGGGATCTAGGGTCTAACCATAAATGCTGCACAGTAATTTTCAAGATATAATAAACACAGATAACACAGAGAATTATTCATGGCCATTGTGAATGTCAAAAACAACACAGTTTTAATTTTAAACATAGTTGAACTCTGGTGACCTTGCCCTTTGTTATATAATATAATTCCCTTTATCATAGTTTGTTTCAATATAAATATGCATTGTCATAATTAATTTTGAATACAAACAAGTTTTGGGGTTGAACCAACAGTGGGGAATCAGTCTACCGAATGTCCTTAAAAGATGTAAATATCTTACAAAAACATTGGTGCCTTATTTGTTTAATTATTTTAAGGGACATAATTTCCAGCTTTCTTCAAAGTAATTCAGATATTTTAGTATAAAAACAAATGTCTCATTGAAAAAAAAAAGTGCTGCATTTAGATGTGAATAGATTCATAAAACATGCAAGATAACAGAAAATTTTAGCTGGCTTTAGTCCAAGTATTTTGTACAGGTGTCTGTCAAAAATTAATGATTCACTGAGACTAATATGAACTGCCTCATTGTGTGACTACTGTATTATATGAAAAGTAAAAAAAAACACCCTTTATGAATAGCTATCATGTTGCAAGCTCTGCTTTGTATGCAAATCAACTTAAATAGTTAGTTGGTGTCCAGTGGAGGGAGAAGTCAACAGTACTGGTGCCTCCTGAGAATCTACATCTTCAAACACTGCAATCTTTAAAGTGCGTTT